TAACGTTTTTTGACTCCACATATACCTCAACGCACAACTCACCTTTTTTCCCTCATCAATTCTATGATTAACCTCATCCTTCATAAATCCATCCGCCAACACGTCAACTCCCAAGTATCTGAAAACATTCACTTCTTCCATACTCCTCCTCCCCAATTTGATATCCAATTTTTCTTTATCTAAATCATTTGATACCCTCATCACCTTACTCTTTTCTATGTTCACTTTCAACTTTCTACCTTTACACACATTCCCAAACTCATCCACTAAACTTTGCAATTTTTCTTTAGAATCTCCCATAAGCACAGTATCATCAGCAAAAAGTAACTGTCAATTCCCATTCTGAATTTGATTCCCCATAATTTAACCCCACCCCTCTCCTGAACACCCTAGCATTTACTTCTTTTACAACACCATCTATAAATATATTAAACAACCATGGTGACATTACACATCCCTGTCTAAGACCTACTTTTACCGGGAAGTAGTCTCCCTCTCTTCTACACACCCTAACCTGAGCCTCACTATCCTCATAAAAACTCTTTACAGCATTTAGTAACTTACCACCTATTCCATATACAGTGGACCCCCGCATAACGATGGCATCGCATAGCGATTTTTCCGCATAACGATTACTTTTATCGCAAAATTTTTGCCGCGCATACCGATTAAAAACCCGCATACCGATTTTCGTCCGAGACGCGTCCAATGTGCCCTCAGCCAGCCTCACATGTGCCGCTCCGTCCCATTGTTTACCAGCCAGCCTCCGCGGTAACATCCAAGCATACACTCGGAATATTTCGTATTATTACAGTATTTTCGGTGCTGTTTCTGGAAAATAAGTGACCATGGGCCCCAAGAAAGCTTCTAGTGCCAACCCTGTGGTAAAAAGGGTGAGAATTAGTATGGAAATTAAGAAAGATTTTGAAGGGTTTGGGGCTAACCCTGAGAAGCCTATGCCAGTTGTGGAATCCATTGTGCCTACTTCAAAGATTAAGGAAATGTGTGCACAGTGGGTTGAACTGCAAACCTTTATAGATGAAAATCACCCTGACACAGCTGTTGCAAGCCGTGCTGTTGACTATTTCAATGACAATGTTGTGGCCCATTTTAGACAAATCGTAAAGGAACGGGAGGTACAGAGCTCTATGGACAGATTTGTTGTGCGACAGAGGTCCAGTGACTCTGAAGCTGGTCCTAGTGGCATTAAAAGAAGAAGGGAAGTAACCCCGGAAAAGGACTTGCTACCTCAAGTCGTAATGGAAGGGGATTCCCCTTCTAAACAGTAAGAAGATAATGCTCTCCCCTCCTCCCATCCCATCAATCATCACCAGATCTTCAATAAAAGTAAGTGTCATTTAATTGTGCATGCCTTTTTCAGTTTGTGTGTATTAAAATTAACATTTCATGTGGTAAAAAAAAAATTTTTTCATACTTTTGGGCGTCTTGCACGGATTAATTTTATTTCCATTATTTCTTATGGGGAAAATTCATTCGCATAACGATTATTTCGCATAACGATTAACCCTCTTGCACGGATTAAAATCGTTAACCGGGGGTCCACTGTACTTGCAACATCTGCCACATTGATCCTCTATCCACTCTATCATATGCCTTTTCTAGATCCATAAATGCAATAAAACTTCCCTACCTTTATCTAAATACAGTGGACCCCCGCTTAACGATCACCTCCAAATGCGACCAATTATGTAAGTGTATTTATGTAAGTGCGTTTGTACGTGTATGTTTGGGGGTCTGAAATGGACTAACGTACTTCACAATATTCCTTATGGGAAAAAATTCGGTCAGTACTGGCACCTGAACATGCTTCTGGAATGAAAAAATATCGTTAACCGGGGGTCCACTGTACTGTTCACATATATGCTTCAATGTAAACACTTGATCTACACATCCCCTACCCACTCTGAAACCTTGCTCATCCACAATCCTACATTCTGTCTTGCCTCTAATTCTTTCAATTATAACCCTACTGTACACTTTTCCTGGTATACTCAGTAAACTGAGTATACCGTAATACCTCACGTACCTCCCCACACTTACATTCTGCTCTTCTTCACTCCTAAAAGATGGTATACCTCCCTGGCCAGTGCATGAAATTACCGCCTCCCTTTCTTCCTCAACATTTAAAAGTTCCTCAAAATATTCTAGCCATTTACCTAATACCTCCCTCTCCCCATCTACTAACTCCCCTACTCTGTTTTTAACTGACAAATCTATACTTTCCCTAGGCTTTCTTAACTTGTTTAACTCCAAAATTTTTTCTTATTTTCAATAAAATTTCTTGACAGTGCCTCTCCCACTATCATCTGCTCTCCTTTTGCACTCTCTCACCACTCTCTTTACCTTTCTTTTACTCTCCATATACTCTGCTCTTCTTATAACACTTCTGCTTTGTAAAAACCTCTCATAAGCTAACTTTTTCTCTTTTATCACACCCTTTACTTCATCATTCCACCAATCACTCCTCTTTCCTCCTGCCCCCACCCTCCTATAACCACAAACTTCTGCCCCACATTCTAATACTGCATTTTTAAAACTATTCCAACCTTCTTCAACCCCCCCACTACTCATCTTTGCACTGCCCACCTCTCTGCCAATAGTCGCTTATATCTCACCCGAACTTCCTCCTTCCTTAGTTTATACACTTTCACCTCCCTCTTACTTGTTGTTGCCACCTTCCTCTTTTCCCATCTACCTCTTACTCTAACTGTAGCTACAACTAAATAATGATCCGATATATCAGTTGCCCCTCTATAAACATGTACATCCTGGAGCCTACCCATCAACCTTTTATCCACCAATACATAATCTAACAAACTACTTTCATTACGTGCTACATCATACCTTGTATATTTATTTATCCTCTTTTTCATAAAATATTTATTAATTACCAAATCTCTTTCTACACATAGCTCAATTAAAGGCCCCCCATTTACATTTACCCCTGGCACCCCAAATTTACCTACTACTACCTCCATAAAATTTTTACCCACTTTAGCATTGAAATCCCCAACCACCATTACTCTCACACTTGATTCAAAACTCCCCACGCATTCACTCAACATTTCCCAAAATCTCTCTCTCTCCTCTACACTTCTCTCTTCTCCAGGTGCATACATGCTTACTATAACCCACTTTTCACATCCAATCTTTATTTTACTCCACATAACCCTTGAATTAATACATTTATAGTCCCTCTTTTCCTGCCATAGCTTATCCTTCAACAATAAGACCAAGAACTATCAAGATAAAATCAAAGAAAACTCAGATGAGTGTGTATAAATAAACGTGTACATGTATGTGTAGTGTGACCTAAGTGTAAGTAGAAGTAGCAACACATACCTGTAATCTTGCATATTTATGAGACAGACAAAAGACACCAGCAATCCTACCATTATGCAAAACAATTACAGGCTTTCGTTTTACACTCACTTGGCAGGACGGTAGTGCCTCCCTGGGTGGTTGCTGTCTACCAACCTACTACCTTTCTTTTTGGGGAGAAGAAAAAAATTACTGTAGCACAATTTAAATAGTTTATTAAGTTGACCTGAAGGACCAAGGACCATCACTCACACAATAACTGTCTTTGCAGAGGCGCTCAGACACAACAGCTTAGATGTCTCGCCAAACTGCTAATATCCCAGACCCCTCCTTTAAAGACATTATACTTCCCATTTCCAGGACTCAAGTCCGGCTAACCGGTCTCCCTGAATGCTTTCACAAAATATTACCCTGTTCATACTCCAACAGATCGTCAGGCCCCAAAAACTATTCATCTCCATTCACTTCCAACAACGCTCACACACACTTGCTAGAAGTCCAAGCCCCTCACCCCTTGAAACCTCCTTTACCTCCTCCCTCCAACCTTTTCGCGAACGACTCCTACCCCGCCTTCCTTCTCCTACAGATTTATACACTCTCCAAGTCAATCTACTTTATTCCATTCTCTCTAAATGACCAAACCACCTCAACAGCCCATCTTCAGCTCTCTGACTAGTACTTTCAGTAACTCATCACCACAATTTCCACACTACGAATTCTCTGCATATTATTTACACCACACACTGCCTCCAACCGCCTCCTTGCTGCAGCATTTACAACCCATGTTTCACGCCCACATAAGTGTGTTGGTACCCCTATACTCTCATACATTCCCTTCTTTGCCTCCATAGATAATGTTCCTTGTCTCCACAGATACCTCAACGCACCACTCACCTTTTTTTCTTCATCAATTCTATGGTTAACCTCATCCTTCATAAACCCATCCACGGACAAGTTAACTCCCAAATATCTGAAAACATTCATTTCTTCCATACTCCCTCCCTCCAATGTGATATCCAATTTTTCTTGAGCTCAACTGTTTGATACCCTCTTCACCTCATCTATGTTCACTTTCAACTTTCTACCTTTACACACCCTCCCAAATTTGTCCACTAACCTTTGCAGCTTTTCTTTAGAATCCCCCAAAAAGCACAATATCACCAGCAAAAAGTAACTGTCAACTCACATTTTGTATTTGATTCCCCATAATTTAATCCCACCCCTCTCCCAAACACCCTAACATTTACTTCTTTTACAACCCCATCTATAAATATGTTAAACAACCATGGTGACATTCAGTGGTGGGCACAGCTACCTGAAAAGTTAGCTTTGCTAACCATTAATCTGCTAACTAAAAAATTAGCTCTGTAAACGCTAAACTGCTAAATGGCTGAAAAAATTAGCAGAAGCTAACACTAACTTTTTCACATGAATTCAGATTCGGTTTTGTTGTTTGGTCTTTTACTTTTAAAACTTTTAGAACAGATATGGAGAGCTTCCTAATGAAATACAGAATGCCAAGGTCATATGATGATCAAGTGCCACTAGTATACAAATAGAGATCGTTAATTTTGTGATGTAACACAAGTGACCGACAAGGACACTTGTTGCTGTACTGAAGCCCCATAGCACCCGAACAGTTTGAGTTAGCTTATTTGACTGTTTTCTTCATTAGTTCCAGTTACTCATTGCATTTGTTCATTTTATACCATTTCTGATCATCTTTGCATTAAATTTAATTTAAAATTTGAACCCAATAAACTACAAACAAGTACGTAGTTGAAAATTGTGCTTAAAGTTGAAACCTTGAGGCCAACTTATTGCTGCACCAGTGATACAGCCATACAGGTGCACACAAATAGTTAAATGAACAAATGAAATCAAACATCAGTTTAAATCCAACATACACTTTATTTACTATACAAAATGAATAGCATGGGCTGATTACTACTCTGGCTGGGCCTTCTCCATCACTTTGATGTGATGCTGGTTGCCCTTCATGAGCATCAGCCTCTCAGTTTCCATCTGACAGGGTGGCTCTCTTAGCCCTCAAGATATCTTTGCCTACAGAGAATAGGCACTCAACTGCAGCACTGGATGGGATGGCAGTGTTGTGCTTAGTGCTTCAACCACAGCCACTGCAGACTCCTCAACAACACCCACAGGTGGAACAGAAATGTCTCCCTTGTTCATAATAAGTGACAACACACCCCGGTGATTGCTGACACTGTACAACTATAACAATGCTGCTCAGATGCTGCTGCAGTGACAAGCCATGTTTACACATAATCAGCCAATAGCGTGCCTGGCTGACTGTTGGAGAAACGCCCACAACAGACAGGAACAAACACGTACGCCGTTGAAAAGGCATTGCTATCAGACTACCAACAACGTAAGAATTTTTTTTGGCGGACTCAAAGTTAGCAGAACTTTATTTAGCGGAAGCTAATTGGTCTGCCAACGGTTCCCGAAGTTAGCGGCAATGTTAATCTGCTAAACAAAAAATTAGTTCCACAAATTAGGGGTTAGCGGACTAACAGAACTGCGCCCACCACTGGTGACATTACAAATCCCTGTCTAAGACCCAATTTTACTGGGAAGAAATCTCCCTCTCTCTCCTACACACTCTAACCTAAGCCTCACTATCCTCAAAAACTCTTTACAGCATTTAACTTACTACCTATTCCATACACTTGCAACATCTGCCACATTGCTCCCCCATCCACTATCGTATGCCTTTTCTAAATCCATAAAGGCAATGAAAACTATGAAAAATTTATATACAGTAAAAAAAAAAAATTCAAGGTCCTCACCCGCTGCTGCCATGTGCTCAGAGGTCCTTATTGGCTGAAAGCCAACAAATGGGATTTGCATAGAGCAAATCAGCCCCAGGATATAAAAGGTTGTATATGCAGTGTAGATACGGTGGGAAAACCGTCCCATGAGTATGAGGGCAAATACGTGGAGCGGGATGAGGTTGATGATGTAGACATAACCACCCCAAGCGCTCACCATATAGAAATAGGAGAGTGAAGCTAATGAAGACCAAAACAAGCTTCCAGTTTTCACAGATTTTACCTGTTAAAAAATATTAACATTTTATAATATTTTAATATGAAAACAGCACACCAAAATTACATATATGAAATTAGATACATACTGCAGTACTTATTTCAATACCATCATTCAGTCACACCTTTAATAATTTGTAACTTTCAGGCATGTCTCAAAATCCATTTACCATACATTACACATTACACATTTCCTACCTAAAGGTGCAAGTAATAGCAAGAAGTCAGAGGCCAGCTATCTATCCACTGGAAATTCTCTGTAATGGGCATAGACTAGTGACCTCATGAATCACACACCTTACAGAATAATGTACATAAGAATCTGACTGGCTTATCACAGAATTAGTGCCAGCATCACCCTTTGTTTTAATACCAAAAGTGGAAGTAGTGACTAATGAACAGACAGGTGTAATAAGCTGTCTCTTGTAGGCAAATTATCTTTAAAAAAGTACCCAGTATCAAAATTTTAGGTCTAAGTGGGAATGAATATCCCAAAAGTTTGCACAGGAAATTAAAAGTGAATAGAAATAAGCACAGTGATGAGGGTAACAAAATGTTAAAGTAATTATAAACTGAATATCAGACTGGAGGGAGGGGAGTATGGAAGTGGATGTACAGTATTTAGATATTTGAAAGTGGACCTATCAGCAGATAGGTCTACGAAAGATGAAGCAAACCACAGAATGGATGATGGGAAAAGGGTAGGTGGTAGATGGTGTGCTGAGGAATACTGAAAAAAAAAAAAAAGTTTATCTAAAGAGAAGAAAAAAAAAACATTTTTATGGGTGTGAGGTATGTGGAGATGTGTTTGAAAGCAATGTGCAGTATGAATATTATGCAGAGAATTCTGAGCTTATAAAGTAGAAAACTGAGCAAAGGTACAATTTAGAAAGCTGAAGAGGTGGTTTAGGCATACAGAGAGGATGGAGGAGGATATTGTACAATGAAGAGGGTACATAAAGCTGGGGTGGAGGGTATAAGGGGGTAGGGGGGTCATCTCAGGAACAGTTGGAGGGATGGGGTGTAAAGGAGGCTTGAGCATCCAGCAGGCATGTGAGCATGTTAGATTCGAGTGAGGGGACATGAGTGGATTTTAATGGACATGTTAATGTGAACAAGTTAATATCTATGAAGGGATTCATGAGGAGCCAGTTAGCCAGACGTAAGTGTGCTCAAGATTGGTAGGGCAGTGCCTGCACTCTCAGTAGGGGTGGGGGATGGTACAGTTCAGAGGATCATCAGAATTGTTGTCAACATACTTCTGGCAAGACAGCAACTGAATGATGGATAATGAGAAAAATATACTAGTATACAGCAGTCCCCCCTATATCCACAGGGGATACATTTCAAGACCTAACACAGATACCAGAAACCACGGATAGTAGTGAACCTTACATATGTCATTTTCATTTATGTACATACCTATCAAAGTTTAATTAATAAATTACACACAATAACTTTAGAATTAGCATTCTTTCACCAATGGGAAGCACTTCATAGCTTCTCTTAGGCTCTGAAGAACTGCCTCCATCACTACTTAAGTATTATTTTTGGGCCACAGTAAACCGTGGATAACAAACCTCAGAACTGAATCCTCTGATATGGGAGTTCTGCTGCATGTATCTTATACCCCATACATGACCCATTGTTGCATAATTTATCATTCTGTCATTCCCTGTGTGTGCATCTTCATGCAACATCCTTCTAATACACATACTACACCAACATAGGGCCTAAATTTTGACATCATTGATAATGGAGAAAATTAAGATGACTTGGAGAATGTATAAATCTATAGTGGAGGGAAGGCAGGGTAGGGTCACCCTAGATAAGGTTGGAGGGAGGCGGGTAAAGGATATTTTATGTGTGAGAGGCTTGGACATCCAGTAGGCCTGTGTGAGCATGTTAGATAGGAATGGAGGTAAATGGTTTTTGGGACTTGACGAGCTGGAGGAGTGTGAGCAAGGTAACATTTTGTGAAGGGATTCAGGAAACCAGTTAGCCAGACTTGAGTCCTGAAGGTGGGCAATACTGTGCTTGGATTCTGAAGGAGGGGTGGGGATATCTGCAGTTTGGAGGGGCATCTGAACTGTAGTATTGGCACACCTCTGGAAAGACAGTGATAGAGTGAATGACGATAAAGCGTTTCTTCTTTTTCAGGTCATTTTACCTCGGTGGAAACCAAGTGGCATGTTAAAAATAAAAATATAGATTGATATATGTTAAGGAAACTTCTAATGTGTAGTATATTTATATGGTGTATGCTTATACTACCAAATTTATGCTTCTGGATAAAGTATGGTGTACAGCAAGACTAAACTATGATGAATTTTTCTACATTGTTTCAGAATGAGAATGAAAGATGTAGCAAAGATTGGTTTCATGCACACAAATAATCTGTACTTACCCAAAGGAAATAAGTAAACATCAAGGCAAAGATGGCAATACCCTCATTGTCATAACTACCCGCCACTGATCGACTGATGTAGCCAGGAACAACAGCAATAAAGCAGGCAGCAAACAGGCCAGCTCCAGGTGACCAAATCTCTTTGGTTAACAAGTAGGTTGCAATTGCTGTTAGACCACTGAAAAAAATGAGAATCTGAATAAAATATTTTCAGAAATTGCTATGCAATTTGTTAAGTTCTAAATACTCCTACCACTGGTTGACCATCATTAATCTGGCACCATCGGGACCTGTAGGGTGCTGGATTAATGATTTTGCCAATTAGAGTGGTTAGGTTAGAATACATTTAACCTAATGGTGATATTTATGCATCAGCAATTTCACCCACTTTTCACCCTATTTTTGGCCCATTGTTCCAGTCTATCAAACTCATGGCTATTTCACTAGTATTCCTTCTATTCTGTCGACCGAGTACAAGAAACTGCACATTTACCTATTTCAACTACCCAATAAAGCGGTCAGAAATCGGTAATTTGGATAATTTCACACAAATTTCAAGAGATGCCAATTTCAAAATAGGGATAAGAATAAATAGTGCAGACATTCCTGGCAATAAAATAACATTTTCTCTGTTCGTTAGTCACTTCTCCAGGCCCCTATTATGCTTGCTTTCCATTTTGAATTTTTATTCACACAAAAAATAGAAGATTTACTGTTATGTAGACTACTGCATTATTGTAATAATTGTATAAATAATTTCAAGCCATTTGTGACTGCGTATTAGACCGGCCAGTTGGACACGTATTGGATGGTGACATTTGTTTACTCTTGAACATCGGTGAAAATCAAACATTTCAGCTAGTTTGAGCTCAATTTCAAGGTACTTTCTGTCATGAAACCAATCAAAATCACATCTATTTCTGTAATACATCTTTCATTTTATCAAACGAGACCAAAAAATAACAAGAATACAACCATAAACACACCGGCCATATCCTCGGTGGGATACGGTCGGTGTGTTGAAAGAAGAAAGAACCATAAAAACCATACGAAAATACACCGCAAAGTCGGGTTTACACCAACATGGTCACAGCTTTTTTTGCTATTATGCACTGTGTGCTGCAGGATTTTATTTTTTATATAGTGCACACTTACCGCACACACCTACTCTCTCGTATGTATGCCCAAATTTATTGGTCACAGCTTATCTAAGCGAGCTGAGCTTATGGCAACCGACAGTAGCTTCAAAGCCACCTTACCTTTTATGGATAATGTATGGTGTATGTTTTACACGAGAAGCATTTCTTTTATTCATTGGAACCATGACTAGGGCTAAAAGTGAGCAGGTTATAACAAATGGAAAAAAAAAAAATTGGAAAGACTTGTTACGACTTATGTTGTAACTCAAATAAAATGGTCCTGACTCCTAAAGGCTGCTCACACTGCTGTCTAGGGGTTATAAAATTACACTGAAAAACACTGCAACTCTAGGGCCAGCAAGTACTCATGCAAATTAAGAAACACGAGTGCAAATAATTAATGTTGTATAAGGATGGACATAACTCGCCTATACAAAAATATATCTACACAGTGGACCCCCGCATAACGATATTAATCCGTTCCTGAGAGCTCATTGTTATGCGAAATTATCGTTATGCGAATGAATTTTCCCATAAGAAATAATGGAAATCAAATTAATCCGTGCAAGACACCCCAAAGTAAGAAAAAAAAAATTTTACCACATGAAATATTAATTTTAATACACACAAACTGAAAAAGGCATGCACAGTTACATGACACTTACCCTTATTGAAGATCTGGTGATGACTGATGGGATGGGAGGAGGAGAGTGTCTTAGTGTTTAGAAGGGAAATCCCCTTCCATTAAGACTTGAGGTGTCAAGTCCTTTTCTGGGGTTACTTCCCTTCTTTTAATGCCACTAGGACCAGCTTCAGAGTCACTGGACTTCTGTCGCACAACATATCTGTCCATAGTGGCCTGTACCTCTCGTTCCTTTATGACTTTCCTAAAGTGTTTCACAACAGTGTCAGTGTAATAGTTACCAGCACGGCTTGCAATAGCTGTGTTAGGGTGATTATCATCAAAAAAGGTTTGCACTTTAAGCCACATTCCACACATTTCCTTAATCTTTGAAGTAGGCAACTTCTTCAATTTCTCTCTCCCCTCCTCCGAACCAGTTTCCTCAGGTCTGGCCTCTTGCTGTTGAAGTTGATCTAGCAGCTCATCAGTGGTTAGTTCTTCATTGTCCTCCTCCACCAACTCTTCCACATCATCCCCACTAACCTCCAACCCCAAGGACTTTCCCAATGCCACAATGGATTTCTCAACTGGCATAGGATTCCCAGGGTTAGCCTCAAGCCCTTCAAAATCCCTTTGATCTACACATTCTGGCCACAGTTTCTTCCAAGCAGAGTTCAAGGTCCTCTTAGTCACTCCCTCCCAAGCCTTACCTATAAGGTTTACACAATTGAGGATATTAAAGTGATCTCTCCAAAACTCTCTTAGAGTCAATTGAGTTTCTGAGGTCACTACAAAGCACCTTTCAAACAGAGCTTTTGTGTACAGTATTTTGAAGTTTGCAATAACCTGCTGGTCCATGGACTGCAGGAGAGGAGTGGTATTAGGAGGCAAAAACTTCACCTTAATGAAGCTCATGTCCCCATAAAGTTGCTCTGCCATGTCTGTAGGATGACCAGGGGCATTGTCTAACACCAGGAGGCACTTAAGGTCTATTTCTTTTCAGTTAGGTAATCTTTCCCATTGGGGGCAAATGCTTGGTGTAACCAGTCATAGAAAAAGTCCCTAGTGACCCATGCCTTACTGTATGCCCTCCACAGCACACACAAATTAGCCTTGAGGATATTCTTTTGCCTGAACACTCTGGGAGTTTGAGTGATACACTAATAAAGGCTTCACTTTGCAATCACCACTAGCATTGGAACACATCAACAGAGTAAGCCTGTCTTTCATAGGCTTATGTCCTGGGAGTGCCTTTTCCTCCTGAGTAGTGTAGGTCCTGCTTGGCATTTTCTTCCAAAACAGGCCTGTTTCATCACAATTAAACACTTGTTCAGGTTTCAGTCCTTCACTGTCTATGTACTCCTTGAATTCCTGCACATATTTTTCAGCTGCTTTGTGGTCCGAACTGGCAGCCTCACCATGCCTTATCACACTACGTATGCCACTACGCTTCTTAAATCTCTCAAACCAACCTTTGCTGGCCTTAAATTCACTCACATCATCACTAGTTGCAGGCATTTTTTTAATTAAATCCTCATGCAACTTCCTAGCCTTTTCACTTATGATCACTTGAGAGATGCTATCTCCTGCTATCTGTTTTTCATTTATCCATACCAATAAGAGTCTCTCAACATCTTCCATCACTTGTGATCTCTGTTTCGAAAACACAGTTGAACCTTTGGCAAGAACAGCTTCCTTGATTGCCGTTTTGTTGGACACAATAGTAGCGATGGTTGATTGGGGTTTACTATACAACCTGGCCAGCTCGGAGACACGCACTCCACTTTCATACTTAGCAATGATCTCTTTCTTCATCTCTATAGTAATTCTCACCCTTATTCCTGTAGGATTGGCACTAGAAGCTTTCTTGGGGCCCATGGTCACTTATTTTGCAGATAAAATCACCAAAAACACTAATAATACGAAATGTTCCAATTGTATGCTTGGATGTTACCGAGGAGGCTGGCTGGTAAACAATGCCACTGGTGGAACATGTGAGGCTGGCTCAGGCCGCACATTAGACGCGTCTCGGACGAATAGCGTTGAGCGGGTTTTTTAGCGGTATGCGAGGCAAAATCTTAGCGATAAAATGTATCGGTATGCGGATTTAACGTTATGTGATGCCAACGGTATGTGGGGGTCCACTGTAATTATGAGTAACTTGTATGTATACAACTTACAATCTTCTCCAAAAATACCACCACACTCCAGTTCACATTAGCTCACTAGCACACTACTACTAACGAGTTAAACAAAATAAATCATCAGGGAGGCTCCCTGACATACACACCCCCACTCTTCACTTCTGCTTGGTAGAGTAATTACCAGCAGGCAAAACGCCATACAGTACTCTCGCATAGTTAGTTAGTTTAATATGTTTATTATGCACCCCATACCCATCCTGTGGGCGGTAGTCAAAAGATTACAGAGGTACATAATTGGTCCAGGGACTGGACTCCAAAGTTTTGATAGCTGAGCAAGTTACAGAGGTAATGAACTCACAATTTACAAAGGTAATGAACTCACAATTTACAAAGGTAATGAACTCACAATTTACAAAGGTAATGAACTCCAGGTAAGTCTGGTCACAATCATGACAAGTTACAAAGGTATTTACAGATTACAGAGGTACGTAATGGGTCCAGGGACTGGGCCCCCAAAGTTTTGATAGCTGAACTAGGTACAAAGGTAATGAGCTCACAAGTTACAAAGGTAATGAATTCTGTAGAATGGTTACTTACGTTTATACTTTGGCTACAATCATGAACAAATTATAGAGTAATGAGCAATTCACACTTCCACACCCGGTCACAACTGTAATGAGTTATTGGTGCAAATATTGATTGTTGAGTCACACACACACACACACACACACACACACACACACACACACACACACACACACACACACACACACACACCACACACACACCACACACACACACACACACACACACACACAGGTGGACAAAGACGGGATGTTCCAGAGATGGGACACAGACACAAGAGGTCACAATTGGAAGTTGAAGACTCAGATGAATCAAAGGGATGTTAGGAAGTATTTCTTCACAGGCCTCTGTATACTAGGGCCTTACAAATAAATGAGAGCACTTAACCCTTAAACTGTCGAAACGTAGATCTACATTTTTTCAACATTTGAAAGTATGTAAAAAAAGTAGATCTTTTCTTTTTTACATTTGAAAAAGTATAAAAAAAAACTTTGATCTACGTTTTTTTTTTTTTTGTTATATTTGAAAATATGTAAAAAAACATAGATCTATTTTTGGAGCACTATGCATGTGAACATAAATCTGCTTGGACAGTTTAAGGGTTAAAAACAAAATTACCTATAGGATAAAAAAAAAAAAAAAAAAAAAAAAAAATCGCCAAACCACCTACTCTTGTCGTGTGGGGTTCGGTAAGGAGTTAAGAGGGTTGAAGGTAGACACACTTGTTGGATGGTAACGATATATATATTGTCAGACTGTGGTAATGGGAGATGGAGGGAGCCCAGCCTGCCGTGTCCTGCCTTCTACTATGCCTATGCGTCGACTGAGACCGAGGTAGCTCGTCTCACTCGCTCGCTGCATCCCGTGACGTCATACAGTCACAGGCCTAAGGGATCTTCTATATAAACACATGGATGGTACTATGATACGCTATACAACACACCTAAGGGGATCAGCAACTATGCTGACACTCTAACGCCAACCCATGACGACTTCACCCAGCCACCTTCCTACATGTACTGAACTAAAAGCACCTCTCGCCTGCTCCTGTCCTGGCCACTGCCCGACTGACAGGAATAAAACACGTTTGCTTTCAGTTCAATCTCGGTACTATGGAGCATTATTTTATAAAATATTTTTTTCTGCATTTCACTGTGTAACACATACAGCAAGTATTGCCTCCAAACAGTAGTGGTTGGTTGGTGTGGTGACCCCAGAAATTTGAAATTATGTTAGCCAAAATTAGTGCCAGATTACTGATTGCCGACCTGTAGTACTACTAGCCAAGATACAGGTACATTCTCTTTGATTCCATTTAGTAAACTACCAGTGTATTGGAGGGTGAAATTACCTGCATCTCCATCCCCTTGAGGTATAATTTATACTTATTATTACTATTTCTACTACTACTGTACTATTTTTACTATTTCTATTAATACTACTACCATTACTACACTATTGCTGCTACAACTACTACTACCTGTTCCGAGATGGCTCAACATTCATAACATCATATCCCATACAGTTTCAAGAAAAATTCTTATTGCCAAGTCTAAGACCAAATTTCTACTGGCTGCATCCTCAACCAGGTTGTTGCTGCCAGTAGTCCAGTCACAACCTGACTGAGCTGGCACTTTCTGCAGGATATGTTCCAGTTACCTCTAGCCCTTGTGTTTCTTGTTCCTCTAATTATACAAGGCCTAATTTTATTCCTATTCATTTGGTAAACAGAAGAGAACCAAGTGCAACTGTCCCTGCATAAACTATAACAATGTCCTTAATATTTATAGGTATCACATCAGAACACTTCACTCAATGCAGTCTTCAACCTATGACCTTATCCATTGGCCTGAAATTTCTAGACAAAATAAAAAAGCATAATCCACTTCTTAAATTCAATTTAAACTAGTTGACCATTATTTTTAAGTAGTTCACAAGCTAAAATGAAATACCAATCACAAAATTCTTCACTGTCTCAAATTATAAATAATGTATACTGTATAATGAACACAAATTAAAATACCTTTTACTCCCTGAAACTTATACTATACAAATCAACAAAGAAAATAAACTCACCTGAAAATGGGTGCTAAGAAGACGCATATATCCCTAATATGTACTGGGATGTTGAGTAAATTTAGTATATAGTGTATACTTCCAGAAGTGACCATGAGCCCTGGGTACACTGTGCCTCCTACTATCCTCCCAAGAGGGTACCAGGCTCTCTCATCGAACCAATTAAGGAAATTATAAAACCCATTCGTGACCATATGAGCTGTTGCTCTGTAGTTGAACCTGAGGATGAAATAGTCTGAAATTAATGAACATGCCTATAAAAGAAACAATGTCCCAATTCCTCAGTTCAAGAAGCTGTGTACGAATGAAGCAGACAAACTAAAGAAATTCCTCCTGTTACCTTTGCAAAACTCTGGACAAGAGTAGGATATACAGCACTACAGAGCTGAAGCTCCATGATACCCCTTTACCAAGGTAATAATGGCTCAAACTTCATCACTGTGTTAAGGTGGCCTACTATGAAGATCCCAAAATGTGCCCATTACTTGCAGCATAAGAAAAAAATCATTGGGCGATGTAAATAAGGTGAAAACGGAACTCACAACAATGTATTAATACAGTGGCACCCTGGTTTTCGTCCTTAATCCGTTCCAGAAGGTCAGTCGAAATCCGAAATGGACGAAAACTGAAGTAATATTTCCCATAAGAAACAACGGGAATCCAATTAATCCATTCCAGACACCCAAAAATATTAGCAAAAAAATACATTTTATAGAGAAAAACTAAAATTTTACATACAGAAAACAATGAGAAATAAATATAAAGCACTAATTTTGAAGGATAAATGAATATTTAAATCACTATTACATACCTTTATTGAAAAGACCTGTTGGCGTATGGAAGGCCAGAGAAAGAGAATGAGAGAATGAGAGAGAATGAGAGAGAGAATGAGAGAATGAGAGAGAGAATGAGAGAGAGAATGAGAGAGAGAATGAGAGAGAGAATGAGAGAGAGAATGAGAGAGAGAATGAGAGAGAGAATGAGAGAGAGAATGAGAGAGAGAATGAGAGAGAATGAGAGAGAGAATGAGAGAGAGAATGAGAGAGAGAATGAGAGAGAGAATGAGAGAGAGAGAGAAGAGAGAATGAGAGAGAGAGAGAGAGAGCGAATGAAAGAGGGAATGAAAGAATGAGAGAATGAGAGAAAGAGAAGAGAGAGAGAGGAGAGAAAGAGAGAGAGAAAGAGAGAGAGAGAAAGAGAGAGAGAAAGAGAGAGGAGAGAATAGAAGAGAGAGAGAGAAGAGAGAGAAGAGGAAAGAGAAAGAAGAAAGAGAAGAATAGAAGAGAAGAAAGAGAAAGAGAGAATGAGAGAGAATGAGAGAGGAATGAGAGAGAATGAGAATGAGAGAGAATGAGAGAGAATAGAGAGAGAATGAGAGAGAGAATGAGAGAAGAAATGAGAGAGAGAATGAGAGAGAATGAGAGAGAGAATGAGAGAGAGAATGAGAGAGAGAATGAGAGAGAATGAGAGAGAGAATGAGAGAGAGAATGAGAGAGAATGAGAGAGAGAATGAGAGAGAATGATGAGAAGAGAATGAGAGAGAGAATTAGGATGAATGCTAGAGAGAATTTGAGAAGAGAATGAGAGAGAGAATGAGAGAGAGAAAGAGAGAATGAGAGAGTATTTAGGAGATCTTGAAGAGTTGTAAAAGAGAAATGAGGAGTCAGTATGAGTACATGTTGAGAAGGGAATCCCCTCCATAAGGATTCAGTATCAAAGCCTATCTGGGCGTTACTTTCCTATCTTTGTCTTTTATGGCACTAGGACGCACTGATTGCTGGACTTCCGTGTCACCGAAAAGTCTGTCCAGAGAGCCTATTTCTGGCATCTCTAAGATTTGCCTAAAATGGGACAAGACTGTCATTGAACATGTTGCAGACATGGCTTGCAACAGTTTTGTTAGTAATAATTCTCTGCAAAACTTTGCACTCACTCCACTTTGCACACATCTAATCACTGAGGGAGGCACATTCTTCCCTCTTTCTTCCTCCTCCTCCTCTGAAGCAATTTCCTCAGCTGCAATCTGTTGCTGTTCCAGCTTCCTTGATTTTTGCTTTCTTCGCCAGGATGGAACTGATTGTTGATTTGGACTTCCCATACACCCTGGCAAGCTCGGCCACACGTAAGCTACTTTCATATTTTGATACAAGCTCTTCCTTGAATTCTATTGTTTCTCACCTTTCACCTGGCAACTTTCTTTGGCCTGGTGGCTTATTTCGCAGTCGCATTCAATAAACAAGCACCAAAAACAATGGATGAACACACAGAGTATTGTTCACTCGACAAGTGACAAGCAGATTGAGTCAGGCAGTGGCATCCCAGGTGGGCGGATGTGTCGGATGCGGACGATTTCCGAGTTGACGTATGAAACCTGGAGTAAAAATTCACCGAAAAGTTGTCAAAATCCGAACTGTACAATATTCGGACAGGACAAAAACTGGAGTTTTACTATATACAGTAAACAGATTGAGAGAAACCACTGATGTAGCAATACTGTAGGTGTAAATAAGTAAAACTGCCAAGTAGCATCAAATGAATACTCTGCAATGCTTTATAAGTGGGTTAGAAAAATACACATTGAAATGGTCGAGTATGAGTAGCACGGGCAACAGGCCTATTGCAGTACACCCCTATTTTTGTCAGTAAACAACCATTTGAGAGCCCAACAATATTTGCAAATTAATTAAATGCTAAAATAGTTTAACATCCACTGATATACAGTACATCAATGGAGTAAATTTTACTATTAAGAAACTCGTTGCACCAGATAATGAGAATTTTCATGATTGTATACATTTTCTAATAATCTAGTACAATAAATTTCAATTGAAATACTGTAGTACCAAGTGGTACTTTTTTTATTCTTAAAGAGAGTCAATAAACCTGTAGGGATCACAGTGCCTAGGAATGGAAGGCATTCAAGTTCAATCCTAGAAAGGGAAGAATAAGTCCAATTCCTTGAATCAAGAGCCTCTTTCCAGCATCAAGGCACCTCCCTTGAGGGGACCAAATAGTATATAAAAGTTTGATTCTGATTGCAAAGACATGTGCAAGTCTCCTTACAACTGCTGCTTCAGTTCTAGCAATGAGTTGACTTATGGGTCACATACTTAAGACCACATGATCTGAATTAAACAATCCACACTGCTTGACTTTCTTGCATTATCCTGGGTTAATAACCCTCTGATGTAATAATCAGCAAGTTTTTTTTCTACTAGACTGGCTCAAGCAGAGTTGCAAAACAGAGGGTTTTCTATAAACCATGTATCAACTTTTTCCAAATCAACTGTAAACTATACCTCATAAAATAATCATTTATCATCTGCTATGTAAACAACAGTAACGTGCCACAAAAGCAGCAGCCAAATCTAAACACAGCAGTGAGTGGAGGGCATCTCCCTGCAAGCCCAAAATTTAAAATGGCTGTAACTACATATATAAAGTATACAGTAATCACAAACTTAGCAATAACAGATGCAAAACAACCACAGGGGAAAGATGAATGGCAGCTCTAGGCCTTGGATGTTGCAGCCAGCACTTTTCAAGAGCTTGCAATTGTGGAAAGGAATGGAGATCAGCCGAGAGAGATGTGTATGAAGGCATCCTACAAGAGGCCTAGAGGTGTCACTCAACTACCCCCTATGGTTGTTTTGGATAGTTAAGTATATCTAGAATATTTAGCTGGAATGTATTTTAATTACATCAGGTTAGGAATGCACTTCAAATTTTCTAGGTTTGTTAAGGTTTTGTTAGATGTCTGATAGTGACACTAACACCAGCTGCTACCTCCATAACTCTGTTGCTATCAATAAAAAGAAAAAAAAAACATTTCCTGTACCTACAGCAATAGTTTTTTTCAACTTTCAGAAACTTCCTAAGGAAGAATCAGGTAACCACAGGAGCTGTGACTCAACCCCTGCAACCACATATACTAGGCAAGTACACAATGAGGAAGACCTAAACTTGTAGGGGATGTACAGTTCCTGGGAAATGGAAGACATTAAGGTTCAATGTAAGAAACAAGAGATTAAGTCCACTTCCTTGGATCAAAAGCCTTCCAGGCACTTCATTTGAAGGGAGGGAAATTAGAAATGTTTCTCGAAGTGTCAAACACAGAATATAGGAGACGAGACACCACGTCATGGTGACAATTAAATTAAGGTTTCAGAAACTTTCAAGTTGACAAGTGGGTCAAAATTCAATATAGATAAGAGGGTGCCACTTACCAAGGGTCAAACTCATGAATGATGCTCTCAAAACGTATGACAGCGAAGAGCCTGGAGAGGAAGCCAGCCAGCCAGGCCAACATAAGCACCGTGAACACCAACAAGCTCTTCACCCCTAAGGGACTGGACATGCTGGACATAGTCTTGGCCTGAGTGCGACCCATCCCGGCGTCGTGCGTGTCCCTGATCCCTCACTCAACCAACATGTGGCTATGTACACACCAACAGCAGAGGCGTGAAGAAGCAGCCAGCCAGGTGTACACTTCAGGAGAAAGCAGTCATGGGTGTCATGGGCAGCAGGTAGGTGTCAGACAGCAGCTACATGTAAACAAACCCCCGGTAAGACTGCTGCTGCTGCTGCCGGCGCTGGCAATGTGCTATTGGTCGACCCCCGACAACCTCACTCCGGGATGCGCAAAAATTACACCATTCAACCCTCATATAACTCATTATTAACCAAGTAAACAAGTAGGTAAGTTTATTTAGGTACAAGTACACATAAGTACAGTTATTATACATAGTAACATATATGTACATTACCTAGGATATCCCTAAAAAAGTCAGACAGTGACCTATTGCCATTGGGGTTATAACTTCTCGCAGGTATATTCCTAATAGGTACTACTACACATACGTACAATTATCATACATAGTAACATATGTGTAAATTACCTAGGATAACCCCCCAAAAAAAGTCAAAGTAAGCAATTTCCTTTGGAAATAATTCAGTGTCAGACTTTATTAGGTTTTCCTAGGTAATTTACACTATGTATTAAGAGTATATCTGAGAGAGGTTATAACTCCAATGGAAATAAGTCACTTTGATTTTTGGGGGTTATCTTAGATATGATAATTGTACTTATGTGTACCTGTACTTAAATAAACTTACTGACATATTAAGAGTATACCTGCCAGAGGTTATAACCCCAGTGGAAATAAGCTACTTTGACGTTTTTGGGGGTTATCCTAAACAAGTAAGTTTATTTAGGTACAGGTACACATAAGTACAATTATCATACCAAAGATAACCCCCCAAAAATCAAAGTGGCTTATTTCCATTGGAGTTATAACCTCTCTCAGATATATTCTTAATACATAGTGTAAATTACCTAGGAAAACCTCTCTCAGGTATACTCTTAATGTCGTTCTCTGAACACCGTATACTGTGGATAATTATAGAGCCTTCGTCGAATTACATTGCAAGATTTTATTGGGTTACCCTAAGTTAAATTCTGCATAAAATCTTATTTTACTTAAACACTTGCTTGGTTATTTGCTTTATTTATTGTTAATGAGATAGAATCACTCATATCTTTATTATATATCGATCTCTATCCATATAGCAGTCTGTACAACAACCTATGTACCATAGTTACTGCTAGGAAAAAGCAGGCAGCAGGGAGGGTACATGCGTTTTGAAAATGCGCAACAGCCCTGAATATTATAGGAATATTATGAAAGGAATTGTAGCTAGTGGATAGAGGACTGGGAGTGTCGTGAAACATTGTACACCGGAAGAACATAATGAGTAGTGTGTTCAAGGTTGTGACGTGGAGGAAGTAGAAGTTATATGAAGTGACTAAGCTACCTGCCGTGTGCGGTAATGTGGCTGGTTTTAACATCCTAGCTAGCAGAATGTTGGAGTTCTGATCCCTGTTACAAGATAGATATGGGTGATAGAATTAACATATCAAGCTATCTAACGCAACGGTGTCGCTTCCTGTTTAGTATTATTTAACTCTTCCACAATTATGACACTTATTTTGCAGTATTATTAAAGCATAAGTTTACACACAAACACATCAAAACAGATAATTTACACACACACACACACACACACACACCTAGGAATAACAGGGAAAACACTACCATGTATCAAAGCATACCTGACAGGAAGGAAACGAGTGATGATCAGTGAAGAGGTGTCGGAATGGGTGCATGTGACGAGTGGGGTTCCACAAGGATCAGTCCTCGGGCCGGTGCTTTCTTACATACGCGAATGACATAACGAAGGGAAGAGTCAAAGGTATCCGAGTTGGCAGACGACGTGAAGCTAATGAGAATGCAAGCAGACAAGGACAGGGAAAGGATACAAATGGACCTGGACAGGCTGTAGGCCTGGTCTGACAAATGGCTCCTGTAATTAACTCCACCAATTGCAAGGTTATGAAACTTGGGGAAGGATAAAGAAGACTGCAGATGGAGTACAGGTCCAGGGGCAAAGATTGCAAACCTCATTCAAGGAGGAGTTTGGGGCGAGTATCATACCGAGCATATCACCTGAGGCACACATCAACCTGGAGCTGTGAATTGACCCCTGCAACCTTTTATGGGTGAGTACGTATTAGGTGAGTGCTGAAAATGTAATCTAAATTTTTAAGACAGGAGACAGACAGGAAGCATTAAACCACAGACCAGTGTCACTGGCATACACAGTATTTAAAGTTATGAAAGAGATTATCAGAAGAGTGGTGGAACCTCTAGAGAGGAGTGGGTTCAGACATGGCAAACACCACAGCTTTTGAGATGGCAAATCCTGTATCACAAACGTACTGAATTCTACGACAAGGTAACAGCAGTAAAACAGGTGACAGAGGGATGTGTAAATTGCATCTTCATTGACTGTAGAAAGGCTTTTGAAACAGTACTGCACAAGATACTGGTGCAAGAGCTAGAGGAGCAGGCAGAAATAACTGAAAAATCACTACAGTGGATCAAGGCATACCTAACAGAAAGGAAACAAGTGCTTGTCTGTGAAGGCGTCAGAATGGGTGCTTGTGATGAGTGGGGTTCCACAAGGATCGGTACGAGAACTGGTGCTATTTCTTGCATATGTGAATGACGTTATGGAAGAGGTGAGTGAGATACCCTGTTTCAGAGATTGAGACTAAGGGGAATAAACAATATGTGGGAAGGAAAAGACTCAAATGAATCGGACAGGAAAACAGGTTGATAAATGTTTTCTAGTTTAAAAAAACCCCGAAAAGTGCAAATTTGAAATTGGGGGAAGGGCAAAAAGCGCAGGGAGTACAGGCTCAAAGGGAAAAGTGAAAAATCCTAAGGAAAGGGCCGGGGTTATATTTAAAAGCTACACCTAAAAAAAAACCACCACCAAAAACTGTCAAAAATGTGCTCGGCCCTAAGACTAGCTTTTGGTATTAAGTAAGGAGTCATTCATGACACTGTATACCTGTCTCAGCTCATATTGGAGTATGCAGCACCAATATAGAACCCATACCTAGTCAAGCATGTTGTATATTAACAAAGTGCAAAGGTTGTAACGAAATAGTCTCCCTGGAGTTTCCTGGAGAGAGTTCGGGGTCAACGCCCCCGCGGCCCGGTCTGTGACCAGGCCTCCTGGTGGATCAGAGCCTGATCAACCAGGCTGTTGCTGCTGGCTGCATGCAAACCAACGTACGAGCCACAGCCCGGCTGATCTAGGAGCTAAGAGGTTAAAGGAAATTCACCCTGATGTCACGGACAGGATGGGAGAGATATGAAACAGGGACCCTCGTAATGCCTTTAATCCTTTCCCAGAGAGCTAGCCTTAAAACCGAATTAAATTTTCCCCCCCCCCATAAGAAATAATGGAAACCAAATTTTAATCCGTTCCAAAACCCCCAAAAGTTTTAATTTTTTTTATACTGCCAGAGAAAGGGAGCTAGAAACCCCTTCTCCTGTATAAATTACTAAATTTAAAAAGAGAAACTTTTGTTTTTCTTTTTGGGCCACCTTGCCTAGGTGGGATACGGCCAGTTTGTTGCAAAAAAAAAAAAATTACATGAAATATACATTTCCCTACACAGAAAACAATGATACATGAAGAATAAAACAATAATAACATCACACTTACCTTTATTGTGGACTTGTTGATGAGTGATGAGATGGGAGGAGGGCAGAGGGTGAAGGTGTTCTAGTGTTTGGAAGGGGAATCCCCTTCCATAAAGACTTCAGGTAGCAAGTCCTTTTCTGGCTTGTGTCCTGGGAGTGCCTTTTCCTCCTGAGTAATGTATGTTCTGTTTGGCATTTTCTTCCTAACAGACCTGTTTTGTCACAGTTGAACACTTGTTGGGGTTTTAATTTTTCAGCCTCTATGTACCCCATAAAGTCCTGCACATATTTTTCAGCCGCTTTTTTGTCAGAACTGGCAGCCTCACCATGCTTTATCATACCATACCACCATCACAACCACTACCACCCTCTACCACCACCACTACCACCATCACTACCACCCTCTACAACCATCACAACCATTATCACCCTCTACCACCATCACAATCACTACCACCCTCTACCACCATCACAATCACTACCACCCTCTACCACCATCACAATCACTACCACCCTCTACCACCATCACTACCACTCTCTACCACCATCACAACCACTACCACCCTCTACCACCATCGCTACGACCCTCTACCACCACTACCACCCTCTACCACCATCACAATCGCTACCACCCTCTACCACCACCACTACCACCATTGCTGCCACCCTCTACCACTATCACTACCACCATCACAACCACTACCACCCTCTACCACCATCACAATTGCTACTACCACCCTCTACCACCATTGCTACCACCCTCTACCACCATCACTACCATCCTTCACCACCACCACTTTCGTATTTTTCTACAAACTTTTTCTTAAATTATATGTGTTTCTCACATTCTTTACCATAGGGCTGGCACTAGAAGCTTTCTTGGGGCCCATGGCAGCTTATTTAGCAGTTACAAGCACCAAAAAAATGGAATAATACAAAATATATTGCATGTACGTGTAGAATCATCCTCACTGGCTTTGTAAACAATGGCACACTGGCTGGTACACAGAGTGAGTGGCTGGGCCCGCTCAGGGCATCGTTGTGACACGTTCGGGACGAAAGCTCCTAACCGAGTTTTTAGGTGTTATCCGAGCCAATTTTTTTACACCAAAGCGAGGTGTTATCTGATTTTGGCATTAGCCGATGCCGCCATTAACTGAGGGTCCACTGTATATACATCAGTAATGCTTGTATGGTGCATAGGAACACTGTCTCACATTGTATAGACTTTAGAATGGGCTGAATTCAAATGTCACTGAAGAGAAAACCAGTAGAAAGTGTTCAGATATACAGTGGACCCCCGAGTTTCGGCAGCCTTGACTTTTGCAAAATTCGATCTTCGGCAATTTTTTTTTTTGGAAAAATTTGACTTCGAGTTTCATGAAAAAACTCGTGTTTCAGCGACCATCCGGTACCCATCCGCCCATCACCGCGCACACAAAGCCAGTCTCCCACGCCATTCACACTCAGTGTGCCATTGTTTACCAACACGTAACCATCACCCTGCGGGTTCATACAGTACATTTCATAATAATCCATTGTTTTTTGTGCTTGCAA